CCTCATTTTTCAAATCTATGAAGCAAACAACCCGTTGTTTCTTGCTAACTGCTTTCCAACTCCATTATCATTATAAATCCATTTTTTTTCTTTCACCTCGCCTCAACATTTTCAGTTCCAAAAATAGAATGATCATGTTAACACGCATTAATATGCGGAGGAACTTTTTGGAGGAATTTTATGACTTTTTTTTTTACAATGGAATTTATGACACTACCGCCTCGAAAGGGTGAGAAGCATATATGTTTGTTTTTGCACGAAGAAATTATCATCTGATCAATTTCAATGAGTTTCTAGAAAGTGAGAGTCTATAGAGCATCTACATCCCATTGCTAAATCGATCTTTAGCAATTGTCAAAATCTAGGTGGCAATTCAATTTGCAAATGCAAAGAATAGAGAGGCAATTGCTTATTTAGAAATATTGCTAAATTAGCAAGTCCTTTAGCAATACTACATGTGAATATGCTTTTTTTCTTCTTTTTATTAGTAGTAACTTTTCAATGAAAAAACATTTTGATAGACTTAAAATAGTAGTTGGGCTTACAATAGCAAATGCAAACAAAATTTAGGGATGTAGGTGGTTTGCAATTCTTTTCAGAGAAATTGCTAAATTTGACGAGGTGGCTGTAAGGACCACATTTAGTTTAGCAATTGCTAGAGATGGAGATGGTATAACACTCAATTTTATCCCGCCACAATCCAAAAGGGATGAGAGTTGCTAGACCAGCATATCTCCACCATCAGTCCACTGAGAAAGAAGGTCGTTCCCAGGTTTGCTTCACACGCGCCAGGCGCGCAGATGCATGATGCATCCGACTGTTGATTATATATATAAAAAAACTCAATCGCTATTCATCACCCTAAAATTCAAATTTTATCGCCCTAAAACGCATTAAATTGACATATTTACCCCTCAACAAAAATTTTATTATCCCTAAAACCAAACCAAACAATTGCAGAGAAGTTAATTTGCTTTATTCTCCTTTTAGAATAGAAAATGAAAGCTCATTGTCGTCGGGATCCCGATGCTCTAGAGGCGCAATTCAGAATTCCAGATCCGCCGAGAACAAACGATTCTCTAACGGACTCATTTGGTCAAGCAAAACAAGGAAAAGATAACTAACGAACATATTTTAACTTCCTCCCGTTCTATTTAAGTTTCTTGCCTCAATTAATTTTCCTACACGATAACTGCAGCAAGGAAGGTTCATCAAGTGTTGTAGGTTGTAGCTCCAAAAGGATACCGAGTTTCTTAGCAATACGCAAGTTATTCACCAAATTCCAATTGACGGGTCACTTGAGTAGTATGCTTTCTGACATTGCAGAATTCTGGCGCAGATGCGAAGAAATCAAATGGAAACGCCTTTGTAAAAAAAAATCATGGAAATGAGCTAATAGGATCAAACATGCGCTATGCAATAGGAAACCAACTGCACTCTGCGAGCTTAGAACGAGCTAGGAAACAGATTAGTTTAACTTATTGAACTAAGGGTATTAGAATGTTGTGTGTACGTGCCTTTTGCTTGTGGCCATGTGGTATGAAGTAATTGTTTGCATACAATTGTGTTAGCTAAGTTTCATAGTTATATGAAGAAAAAAGTCGAGAAATTATTTTATAATGATCTCATATTTTTAGTTGATATGAACTCCAAAAGACCTTCATAAAGCATGTTTTGCTTAATGAAAGAAAATTGAACTCCAGAAGAGTTTCATGCAACATGGATGCTTAAGAAAGAAATTGAACATGAAGGATTTAAGATCCTTTTTGAATCAGTACGACAATGTCGGAAAGGTGAAAGGACAATTTGTATGGAAAAAATTGCATATGTTCAACAGCTTAATGATCACATGGTCACTAGAAGTGAACAAAGATCAATTTAGGCATTGATAAAAGTGAATTATTAGGTCCTGAAGTACCGTATGTTAATGTCGTTAGAGCGAAAATGTATCTCGCTATACTTCGTTACTATAGGTAACGATGAGGATCATAGATGAGTAATTTTATTTACCTATGGTCGTACAAGTATCTCATGGAGATTCCAAAGAAATCACAATAGCAACTGATCATGCACAATGGTCAACAATTCATGAGACTTGTTATGAATTGTTTGGTTAAGATTTGTGATTCAACACGTCTAAATGACTTGTAGTTGTGGATTTTCTTCATAAAATGATCTGAAGATCATGTATGAAGAAATGGTCCTAATGGATCATGCATGAAGTGACAATCTAGAAGATTTGTTCACTATGAAGCTTACCATGAGAAGATTTGAAAGATTTGTTCACAACACTATACTTTGATGTTGTCATGAGGGGGAGCATATACGCACTGCACTCTTTTTTCCTTAACCATGGTTTTTCCCACTGGGTTTTCCTGGTAAGGTTTTTAACGAGGCAGATTCAATAGCGTATTATGATGATTATGTACTCTTTTTCCTTCACTAGATTTTATCCACCAGGGTTTTTCCTAGTAAGGTTTTTACGAGGCATATTCATGTCTAATGGTCATCCAAGGGGGAGTGTTATGAAAATATTATTATTATTATGGATGACCAACATTAGATGCTCCATGGTATGTTACAAGTTCTATGTAACTCATCTCCTTATATTTATTCTCCATATGACACATTAGTTGCACAATTGGGTGTTACATGTAACCCCCACCCCATTTCTATTTCACATTCATTCTCACATTCATGTATATTGATTGTAAGAATGTAGAGGTTATGTGATGTGTGCCTATAAATAGATGGTCTCCTTGTACTAAGGAACATATGAATAAGAAAGCTCTATTCCCCTTCTCTTCTTGTGTCTCTACTCTTACTCTTGTGTATGTTCCTCTTCCTTGTTATTTCATAACAGTCATTGTGTTGTGCAATATCCATTAGATATTGGATATTGGTATGCAGATTGTTGTTAATACCCTATTATTAATTGTATCAAAATCACAAATTATTGATACAGTCTTACTAATTTGCTATGAACTTATTATAAATGTTAGATTGTTTTCTTAATGGCTAGTTGGAGAATTATTTTTGCGAGTTGACTCGCGATCCAACCGCACTCATCCACCCACCCAACCCAACCCGCAGAAGTTTGTGTGTGGATTGCGGATCACAATTATTCCAACCCGCTAGTAAGCGGGTGAATCAATTTGAGACCAAAACCCACGCAACCCACCCGTTGCCCACCCCTACTTTTTATCATTTCTCTACTAGAGGTTGTTGGTCTATCCAGGGTGTTATGCCAGATTAAAATGCTTAAATCTACACAATAAATAAAAGCCAAATGAGAAAACTTGAAGCCCCATTTCAATTTTCTGCATCCAGAGTGAAAGTAGGAAGGATATTTTGGTCTTCACAATTACTTTTTTTATTCATTAAAAAGACACTTACTAAGATTCGAACCATGACCACTTTAAAGAAAAACAAAGATAATAACCAATCACACTAAGTACATTTGTTGTATTCTTTTAAATTAAAACATATAATTGCAGAGAGCAAAAAACTCTTCCCCCATTTCAAATTTCCTGCTCCAGGAGCGTTTGTAGAAGAGTAGAATAGGGAGTGTCATTTTTTTTTCTTTTTCCTCTGTGGAACGGGCCAACTTACCGTATACATGCAGATTTAAACGGGTCCAGGAGTGTCAATTTTTTTCTTTAAGTCCTTTTATTTCTCCGTGTGGTAAAATATATTATGAAAAGCAAAAACAATACTCCTTTTTATTTCTAAAAAGAAAAAATTTAACAATAAACTAATGCATAGATTCTAATGGGCTAACCGCTAATCATAAAATAAAAAAGTTGAATGGGTCTGACCTACACGGATTTGCCCATCAAGTAAAACAAATGAACATCATGAGTTTGTCATTCTAAAACAAGCTATTTTCTCTAACATAATATATATTATGCTATTATTTTATATCTTAGTGGCTAAATATAATGTATTTTAAAGTTATTGAATGGTTCAACCTCGACCAACTCAATTAGTCCAATTTTTATCATTTCAAATATATATTATGTAATGATTTGATATCATAATGATTAAATTATAGTGTATATTATAGGGAATGGTTTGGTATTTGTTAGTAAAAAACTAAACAGAAAGATCTATCTGGTTATTTTTAACATTAAAACGTTCCTAAATATTTTTAGTGTCCTTTCGAAATTCTATAGTTTTATTCGCGAATCAGTGATGTGAAAATGGTGAATTGCAGTCATTTCTTTTCTTTCATTATTTTTTATTTTCAAATATAAAGTTTAAAAGTAAAGAATAATTAGAGTTTGGCACGGGTTGGTCAAACAGGCTGAATTTCAAGTTTTGGCCCGTTTTGATCAAGTCTAATTTATAATCATATGGTTCTAGATACCCTATAAAATCTCATCCAAACCATTTGGCAGGTGAGTCCGTGTTTACCACCATTTTCTAGGGATACAGGAACGGTGGTTTCCTATCCCAAATCGTGTTGTTCATTCTTGATTTCTTTAGATTTTATCATGGCTTGGCAAAAAACCAGAAAGCACAATGATGAGAAGATGAAAGGTTTATAAAGCAAATTAATCGGCCAACGGGCCGAGTAAAAGCTAGCAACGATTGTGAGATGCTCATTTACCGAAAACCGGCGGAATAGGCGATTTTTTATTCGATTTTCTGGAATTCGTTTCTATAAAACTTACTCAACCTCATCATATTACAAGAAACAATATTGTTTCACAGGTAACAGGTACTTGATTTTGGTTCATAAGGCTGATTTTTTATTCGTTGCATCATTCATGTCTCTTTTCTACTAAAATTCACTATTTTTTATCACGTATTTCAAAAAAAAAACTATACAACAATAAGCTATGCACCCCATTACAGTATCCAATTTCATACTTCACCTTCGTCCGGCCAAATGGCCGGGGCCACGCTAGTAGTTAATAATGCATAAATTTTCCTGTATGAATAGTTGTGATACATGCTGTAACAGCCTAACAGGTCATGTACCAGTTTATCTGATTTTTGTAAACATACTCGTGGTGGCCATCAGCGGAGGAACTATTCTGAGAAGAAAGATGGTCTCTCTCTCTAGTAAACACCCAGATTCTTTCTTCGTCCAGAGAAGCAAATAAAAGCAGAAAAAGGAAAGCGCTTTTATTTGTTGGAGTTTGATACGGAGTAGGTAACGTAACGACGAAACCGAAAACCAGACTTGGCCCTCCCCTGCCTTTTCCGTTTCTTTCGCGGGAATTCCCTCTTATCGTATCCTTTTGCATTGTTATTGGGATTCAGTTGCTTGTGACAAGATTAGCTGGATGACGACGACCAAGGCGCCGGCGAATTCCTCGCAGACGTGGGGTTTCTTCCGTGAAGGGAAGTAAAAACAAAAAAAAAAATTCATTTTCTGGTTCAGCTTTCTCTTCTACGGATACGGCAAAATAGATTGTAGAAATGGGTCGAATGAATGGAGGAACTGGTCCAAATTCTGAGAATGGGTTGCTTTGGAGATGGGTAGGAATCATCAGAATCGGGGAAGGCATTGATTGGTAAGGGGATAAGTCGGGATTTGACTGATTCTCTTCTGTTCATCGAGCTCCATAGCTCGGCCGCCGTAGATTCTAGCCAGTCGGCGAGTGTCAGTAGAGGAAACAAGAATTTCGAAGACGAATTGCGGCTCGCTGTGGTTGCGACAAACCAGCAAACAGGTGGTGGGCAAGGAGACAATGAGGCATTGGATAAAGGCGAGCAGGGAAGCCGCGGGAATCACAATGCAGACGGAGATATAGTTGTGCCCAACACGGAAATTTCCATGGGAAACTCCTTTGAGGAAAGCTTGGTTGTCAAGAGCAACAAGGCAGCATCGTCGTCGGCGGGTGATTTGAAGGAGTTACTGCCAAAGGGGGAGAAGAAGACAGCATGCGTGATTGATGTCAAGTGCGATGTTGGGAATTTGAAGGATAGCTGTGATGATGGGGAGAAGGTTTGCAGGATTTGTCATTTGAGTTCTGATGGGTCAGTTGAAGTTGCCACTGCTGGGCCTGTGACTTCCATGGAGCTCATTCAGCTTGGTTGTGGATGTAAAGGTGAGCTCGGTGTTTCGCATTCTCACTGCGCTGAAGCCTGGTTCAGGCTCAAAGGAAACAGGTAAACAGATTCTCCTCTCTTGTCTAGATTTAGGGTCTCATGTTCATGTATTGTTTGAACCCAGGAAGTGTTTTGAGTAAAGGAGACATCTTGTTGATCTTCCAAGCTGCTAATTCTGACTAGTGATTTTCAATCATCCCAAGTTGTATAGAATTGCAATTTGCAAAATGTTCAGGAAACCAACCGTTCTTCGGGGTTATCTGTCCTTGTTGCTGTTATCTTCTGCCATTTTGTTTCCTGAAATCTGAGTTCATCATCTCTTGGTATATCTGAACCAAAAATCTAGTCAGGAGGCTGTCAAATTCATAAATATCATGTTCGACAAGTGAACTTAAAAGCTGCATTGACAGTGACTTGTGGGATATCATGATGACACAATACGAACTCCAATTCGTGTTCTCGTACTTGCAGGGTGTGTGAAATTTGTGGGGAGACGGCGAAGAACATAACAGGACTAGTAGGGGACAGCAGATTGCACGGAGGTTCGTCGGAGAGAGGTGGTGGCGGAGGGTGTGGGAGTGGACAACCTTTCTGCAACTTCCTGATGACGTGCTTCATGATCGCCTTCGCCCTGCTATGGTTCTTTCATCTAAATATGTTCTGAGCCATGCTGCTGCTGCTACCAAACTGTTGGCATTCTTTGTTCCGTTGGCGCGAGGCTGGGAAGAGCTCAGGAATGGATCTTTCTTTTGGTCTCCTGAGAGGGGAAATTTGTGTATAGCCTAGGCAACAACACTTACAGTTGGTAGTTTGTTTTTTGTTACATACGGCAGCATAGAGTACTGGAAGAACCTGAACCTGTTTTGGTTCTTTTCCTTTGCTTTGTTATTTAACGCTTGGAAAGTGGAAGCTCAGATAGACAAGCAATATCATAACCACAGAATAGTTGGTATATAGAAGTTTGGTTATAGATGAATGCTAGTACAGTTTTCTTCACTTCTCTGTCATTTCCCAGGATCGTTTTACTGAAATTGGCAAATATAAGAGCAATCCAGATCGAGTATGAACTGGCAAGTGATTGTGGCTATTAAACATTAAAATTGACTATTTAGCACACCGATCAACAATCCGTTGTAGTCTAGTTGGTCAGGATATTCGGCTCTCACCCGAAAGACCCGGGTTCAAGTCCCGGCAACGGAAGATAAATTTTTTTCTTTTTTGCAGGCTTTTTGGCCCACTTTCAAAGTTCACTGCTGGGCCGGCCCACAATGAAAACCCTAACCCTAGTCACCCCCATTTTCGTATAACTCCTTTTTCAACTGCTCAGTTCTCTGGGTATCGGCGGCAAAGAGGCATCACATTCTTCTCTTCCTTCCTTGTTCTGCATTCCTCGTAATTTCATCGCCGCCAAAATGGTATCGCTCTCCGTCTGGTTCTCGAGCTTGATTGGTATCTCTTTACATGTATATGCTGTACTGTTCTGATTCTCTCTGGTTCAAATGCTTGGTCACCTTAGGTTGACGACAAGAAGCTTTCCAACCCTATGAGGGAAATCAAAGTCCAGAAATTGGTACTCAACATCTCCGTCGGAGAAAGTGGCGATCGTCTCACCCGTGCCGCCAAGGTTTGCTTTCTCTCTGCCCGTTTTCGTTTGCTCGAGATTCATAGCTGTTTCTTTTTCTGTTCCTGCTTTAATCATAAATATATGTATTCACTGATTTTACTCGCAGGTGCTGGAGCAACTCAGCGGCCAAACCCCTGTTTACTCCAAGGGTATGCTTGAAGTTACGATTTTGATAGCAATATGATTAGGAGTTGTCTTTGTTGTGGAGGGGTTTTAATGGGAGGTAGTACGAATTGGGTTTTTTGCAGCTAGGTATACCGTTAGGTCGTTTGGTATCAGGCGTAATGAGAAAATCGCTTGCTATGTGACCGTGAGGGGTGACAAGGCAATGCAGCTGTTGGAGAGCGGTCTGAAGGTGAAGGAGTATGAGCTCCTGAGGAGGAACTTCAGCGATACTGGATGCTTTGGTTTCGGTATCCAGGAGCATATTGATCTTGGCATCAAGTGAGTCTCTTATCTTCTAATCTTACTTTGCATGTTTGTACACCATTGTCTTAGAAAAGTTAAGGGTTGTGAATGGTGACAGTGAGAACCAATCAAGCTATAGATGCATTGTTATTGAGTAGGTTTCATGGAGCAAATCTTAAGTTTGTAGATGAAGAAATCGTAGGCTGTCAGGAGTTCAGAGTTGGTTTATGAAACTGCTTTGTGCTGCTACTAACCCACTTCTGAAATTGCATGATATAGACGAGAAATCTAATTTGAATATAGGGTGTTACATGGACAAACTGTGTAAAATCATTCCCTTGAGGGGCAATATTTGTTTTGAAACTTTCCTTTTATGATTTGCGTTGGATTCCTACTGTTGGTCAGTTTGGTATTCTGATTCTTCATGTTTTTATCTTAGTTCCTCTGTCATTCATCGTTCCTTGTTTAATGTGTTCCTCTGTGATTTATCTTAGTCTGTCATTATTGATTGTGCTCATTATATTATTTGCAGATATGATCCTTCAACTGGTATTTATGGTATGGACTTCTTTGTCGTTCTTGAGCGCCCGGGATACAGAGTGGCTCGTCGCCGCAGGTGCAAGGCACGTGTTGGGATTCAACACAGAGTTACAAAGGAAGACGCCATGAAATGGTTCCAAGTCAAGTACGAAGGAGTCATTCTCAACAAGGCCCAAAACATTGGAGCTTAAGTTGTTTTTCCCTTGATGCACTCAGCTTTTGGATAGTTGTATGTGTTTTCTGAGACTTGGAATGGTTTGAATGTTGATTGTGGGAGATTTTGAATTAGAGATAGAGATGTGGTTGTCAAATTATGTTCTCAGTCCAAGAATGGTAGTTACTTTGATTTCTTGAAACCTGCTTCTCCTCCACTCCTTGCTTCCCATTTGTTTCTCCCTGCTTTCTCTTTAGTCTTTTCCTTAGTCTTGGAAGACGCTATCTCGGTCTTCACCCAGATGCATGTGAAGAACATCATCTCATGGAACCCATAAGCCTTCATTTTCACATGATATGCACTCTGCAGATTCATTTTCTGCACTAGGGTGGCATTGATTTTTGTGCTAGTTGGGAAGTGCCCAAGAATTGATCACATGGTATGTTACAATGATGGAACCTAATTTTAGTAAAATAACAACATTCATCAATCATCACCACGATGGTTGTTGGAACTTGGAAGTGCAGTTTACGAACATGTCACCGAACACAATCATGTTGGAGACAGCGGTCGATTGAAGATGTGTAGCAGGCTAATGCAACGACGTAAGCACGTGTTGATTGCTCGCATAAGTATGATAGCTAGATTTGGACATGAGAGAGCAAATGGTCTGGATTGTTTCTTTGACTAAATCAACAAACTCTTAAGACACAATCCATTCCAATATGGGAGACTTTACAGAACAGAGTAATAACTTCTGAATGGAAAACAGAGGAATACTCCATTGTTTCTTCAGAACCATCCATTACCAGTCTCTGTTTCAAGACCTTCCATTTCATGTTCTTTCTCAACGTATACATTAATAAACAAATAGTGGAAACCAGCCAAACAAAAAATCGTATCCAATGAACAGAATCCTTCAATGATCTATAACAGCTCTAAAGAACAGACAAACAGAAAAGAAGAAAAAAAAAGTGAACACACCTTTTCTGGGGGTTTCAGGTGCATCTCTTCGCTATAAGAATAAGGAAAACAATGAGGAACACAATGGAAGAGAGGGCAATCACAAGCCCCAGAAAAACCTTATTCGGCCCATGGTGTCCCTCTTTCTTGCTACTCGATCCGCCGTCGTCTCCGTCGTCGTAATCCGACGAATCGCCGTCATCCCCTGAAGTCAAATCTTTCGACGGCGGCGGCGACATGGGCAGTCCATGCTTATCACACTGAGCAATCCCTAGCTTCAACTTGGACGACAAGCTCGTGTGGTTGTAGCACAAATTGTCATTACCCTTAATTTTGAAAACTTCCAATCTCTCGAGAAACGAGGCATTGAACGGCAAAACGCCACGGAAGGCATTGTTGGCGAGATTCAAATGCTTGAGATGCTTCATCTCGGTGAAGAACTTGGGGATGGTGCCATTGAACTGATTCGAACTCAGATCGAGATGCTCCAACCCTGGTATAGCCGAAATCGAATCCGGGATCGACCCGGACAACGAATTAGACGCAAGAGACACATTCTTCAGCGAAGTCAAATCCCCGAAGTTCGCCGGCAGCTCCCCGGCGAGCGCGTTGGAGGAAAGATTGAGGCTTTCTAGATTCTCGAGTACTGCAATTGAACTGGGTATCTTCCCTTTAAGCCCGTTCCTCGACAGATCCACATGGGTGAGATTCTCGACCCAATGCTTCGGAATCGACCCCGTGAGATTCGCATTCGTGATGGTGACCGTCCGGAGCTTGTGCATATTCCCGATAACGACGTAGAGCCCGCTGGCGTTGACGGGGACGTCGGTGACGGTGAGATCGGTGAGGTTGGCGAAGCGGGAGAGCCAGACGCCCGCAAGGTGTTTTGAGAGAATGCGCACAAGAGAAGGAGCGGAGGTTGAGGGCGAGATCTGAAGGAAGCGGATTGGGGAAATGGGGCAGTTGGTGAAGGAGAGGGATTGGAGGGTGGTGGAGAGGGACTCGAGCGCGGTGAAGGAGAGGGAGACGTCGTCGGAGCAGTTGGAGAGGTGGAGGGAGACGACGTGGCGGAATGGGGCGGCGGCGTCGCAGGTTTGTGGCGGCGTTGTTTTGGGCGCAGGGGTCTTTGGCCGTTGGGATGCTGAGTGACTGCAGGGCTCGGAGTTGCTTTGGGTCTAGCGTGGAGTGAGATGAAGTGGACGGAGCTGGGATGGTGACCGGGGAAGATGGTGGGGTGGCAGCTGGAGCGACGGCAGTGGATTTGCCGGCGGCGGAGGCGGTGGCAGAGAGGAGCAGAGGAGGAGGAAGAGAAGTAGTGGTGGTGGTGGTGACATTGTGAGGGGAGAGGGAGTGAGTGGAACTGTGGAAGTGAGGGGAGATTTGCTTTGGGGAGAGTGAATCAGTGAGCTTTTTGTAGTATGTGTGCTTCTAAGTGGAGAGCTGTGCAGGCTTTTCTGGGGATGGGAGAAATTTGCAGAAGAGGAAGGTGAGATTAATGGAGGTGTGGTGGAGGAGGGAATTGTTCGTTCTGTTCTGTTCTGTTCAGTTCTGTTCTGCCCTTTGGGAAGTCCAGAATTTGCAGAAGCTACAGCTTAGCTAGCTAGCTGATCGTTCTGGCTTTTGTTGATCTGACTAATGATTTCTAATCATTTCAGGGTTCGTTGGATCATGAATTTGGCCCAAGGATTTGTTTTGATTTGAGTATAAAATTGATGAGCTGTGAGGGTATAAAAAGTGGACTTGCTGGGGAAAGAGAAGGTCAGGTAGTCAAAAGTTCAGCCAGTGAGGTGGTGGGTCTGTGATCCAAGGCTAGGTATTTAAAGCATGGATTTAATTAATTGCTACATGCTTTCTTCCCCTTAATTTTATCAGTTAATGGAAAGAATCGACATGTCTCGAACTCTATTATACCATTTTTGTACGGGTTAATACCTTATTCTGGCCCGAATTATGATCATATAATCAACTTTGGACAGTGGTTTGAGAAATTAACATCCTGGCCCGAACTTTGCAGCATATAGACTCAATTGGCCGAAAACATGGTTTGACCGTTTGTTTAGACGGTCAACACCATTGACAGTTAGTCAACTATACAAGTCACCGCCATGTCACCACCAAAGAAAAAAAAATTGAATTTGAATTTTCTTTTATTATTTCCTTACCTAATTTAAAAAAACAAAAAAACAAAAAAATCGGCCACCCCTCGCCGCTTTCCTTCTTCGACCAAAACCAAAAAAAAATCCCTGACGAGCAGCATTCTCCCTAATTCAAATGAACCATTGGAAGCACCCACCGTATTTCCCAGGAAGGTCTTCCCTTTGAAGATCACTTCCACCTTCAAGGTCAGCCGACAAAGCTCCACCAGCGCCTCCCTCACCGCGTTTCTGTCGTAGAACACCCGTTGCAGCCCGTCGAGAAACCTGAACATCGTCGCGAACTCGCCGTCCCACCGAATGGAGTCGGGAATGGGGACCGGCCAACTGGTTCCTGCCAAGCAATGCTAGGCTGAGCATTTTCAAATTTCCCAAAATCGGTTGGATCCGTCCGTAGATCTAGTCGTTGTTCAGTTCGAGATGATTCAAGCACTCCAATTTGGAAATCGAGGCCGGGATTTCCCCCGAGGTTCTGTTGTCGGCGAGATTGAGTACCACGAGGCGGCCGAGGTTGCCGATCTGGGAGGGGATTCTGGCCGGAGTGGTTGTTGCCCGACGAGATCCAGGACGAGGAGGTTCGAGAGCGAAGAGACGCAGTCGGGGATCTCGCCAGAGAGGCTCTTCCAGTCAGCGACGATGAGCGTGGTGAGCTGGAGCTTGCAGATGGCGGAGAATGGTCCCGGTCATGTAGTCGGAGGTCCCCCAACTTTGTGAGGATTGGATCCTCCGACTCGCCGCGGAGGTTGATTTCGGTGACGCGGCCGGTGGCGGGGTCGCAGCTGACGCCGAAGTAGTTGGTGAATCAGAAACGAAGAAGAGGGAGCTGGGGTATTGCATACCGAGAGTGTGGGCTGAGGGTTGGGAAAGGGATCGTCGGGGAAGAAGGGGTTGGGTAACGATAAGGCTGTGTGGGTTGAGTGAGAGAGAGAGAGAATGGGGATTTTATTTTATTTTATTAAATTATTATTTTTCACATAGCATCCACGTCAGCGTAGCATGGTGATTCACTAACGGTCAATGATGTTGACCGTCTAATTTGACGGAAATTCGCGATTCGGGCAAATTAAGTCTACATGGTGCATAGTTGAGGTCAGAATGTTAATTTTTGAAACCACGTGTCAAAGTTGATTGTATGGTCATAATTCGAGCCAAAATAAGGTGTTAACCCTTTTTGTACAATGAAACTTTACATTGAGCGTATTTATGGGTTTTGAGGGTATCCACTTCATACCAGCTTCAATATCACTTCGACATCTAATACAACTAAGTTGTAATAACAAAAGAGCACATTAGTTAATTGAACACAAAACACACATTGAATTATGCAATCACATATATGAGTGTACATTTAATTCGTCACACTTTTCTTTGATTCACTACTCATTCATAAGAACTCGATTCACTTCTCATTCTTAAAAATTCGAATTTAAATGATTGTTAGTAGAAATCAAATCACTGAAGATTTATCCATAATTTGACAACAATACAAAATCTTCCACTAAACCCAATCCCTCCCTCTCTAAAACAAACAACATATTTCTCAGCATCAAGGATACAAATCCTTTCCCCGCCAGGATTACGTGGGTCATCACTCTCTTCAGCAGTCAATCGAGCTGCACGTTCCAGCAATCTCCATGGGATCAACCTTGTTAACAAAAGGATTGATCTTCACCCAAACCAGCGAGAACACCGACGCCAAAAGCACCGACCAAAGCACCACAATCGTCGGCGTCCTGTTCTGCCGCCCCATCAAACCCTTCAAAAACGGGTACAGATGGAGTATAACCCAGAACGCGAAGAACACTTTCCCGAACAACGGCCCCCACGCCTCGTAACCCTTGTTCAGCGCGTCGGAGAATCCGGCCACCACGCCGACGATGTTCACGATCAGGAGGGTCGTCGGAGGGATGAGCACCGTCGTCCATTTCACCATGTACAACTCCCCGAACTCTGCATCCTCTGCCGCCTTTGCCGTGACCGTGAAGTTCGTGTCGATTCCGGCAAGCATTTTCAGGAACCCTTGGAATACGGCGAAGAGGTGGGCGGACACGCCGCCGATCACCCAGAACTGCTCGTTTCGCCACAGATCCTCGATCCCGACCCCGCTCCATCTCAGCTCGAGGACCGCGGTCAGGATGATCGACATGAACAGGCCCAGGAAGAGCACGCTCGCTAGGTTCGACAGCTGTCAAATCGATTAACAACTCGAGTTATTAACATCAAATGTAGTCAAAATCATGCACTTGAAAGCTTTAAAAGCTTGTGCTTTTTACGGTTCTGGATCACCAAAACGCTTCTACGAGCAGAATCACACTTTCCCCCTTTACTAATGTAGTCAAAATCGCACTATAAACCTTAAAAACTTACACTTAGGTCACCAAAACGCTTCTACGTAGAAATCACGTTTTTTTTTACTACGTTGACTGAAATTGTTTAATTCTTAACATGGTATTAGAGATGGTATGACCAAACACTAACAGTCGTGTGTTCAAATTTCAACTGACCTCCAATATTAACGATTATGATTTTTCTTCTTACCGTTGGAATGATGAATTTGCCGGTGAGAAGGCAGATGGCGGGGATCAAGCAGTAGGCAATGAGAGGAAGGGAAGTGAAAGGGTAAACAATGGTGTTGATGTAGGCAAGTCTCTGCAGCCATTTGAGGCGGCCACCTCCAAAGCCATACCAGAGTGGACAATGTCTGCTCAAGAAGATTTCAACCGAGCCAAGCGCCCATCTCAGGACCTGGTGAAGCCTATCAGAAAGATTGATTGGCGCAGAGCCTTTGAATGCTGGCCTCAACGGCATGCAGTAGATTGATCTCCACCCACGGCATTGCATCTTGAATCCGGTTAGAATGTCCTCTGTCACGGATCCGTATATCCAACCAATCTGGAGGAGGAAAAACAAGTGAGTAAGATTTTGATCAGAAATTGGGATAGTTTATACTTTATACCATACCTCTTTGCCCCACTCTGTCTTTTCTTCATAGCTGCAGCTGATGACATGAATTGCCTCCTTGATGAGTGTCGATGAGTTGACGGATTCAGGCACCCCTCCATTCTCCATCAATGTGGACTCGATGAAAACGGAAGACAATCCGAAAGTTTTCTCGAAGCTCCTCTGGGACATCAGCATTGATCTCTCATACTCATCAAAGTCTGCAGAATAGATGAGAGAGTAGTGTCAGAAAAAAGAACCGAACTTTAGTACTAGTAGTAGTTATTGTTGTTTTCTTCTGTTACAAGTAACCATTTATTTTGAGTTTTGGTGACTTACTGTCAATCTCATGAAGATTGAAGATGGCAGCATTGAGCTCTTCTCTTTTTGCATCTTTGTAAAGCTCGGTCGCATCTAACTCAGCCTTCTTCTTCTTCGATGGGCAGCAGCAAGAGCAACAGCCGCACCACGAACATGATGAGGAGGATGAGGAGGAACTCTTGGTTAAGGTAGGCATTGAAGGAGGTCCATACCCATAAAGTGCTTGCCTATTGAAAACACAACCTGTTCCCACATAAACTGGTCCTTGAATCCCATCCAGTCCTTTCATGTTAACCTGCAAAAAAGAAATGGGATTCCAGAATTGTCAAGAGTCAAGACAACTAGTGCAGCAAGACTACAGTTACTTGTTTAAGAAGTGATTTCAATCTGTACTTACATCGAAGAAGACCACATTGCGATTGGCATATCGATCACTCTTGTCAATACCATCGAATCGTTGAGGGAACTGAACATAACACACGTCTTGACCAACTTGTGGATCCATTAAGAAGCACATTGCCTCCCTAACTGCCTTGCTGTTGTTTACATAGTGGTCACAATCGAGATTGAGGATGTAGGGTGCATTAGTGAGAACCGCAGAAACTCTCACCTGTTGTAAAACCATATAAACTATTAACAACTATACAAGTATTGGAATTCAGTCAATGTAGAGATTTCACCAAGAAAAATCTAGCTACTTCGATACGTACGAGAGCATTTTCAGCACCAGCCTTTTTGTGATGTTGGTAGCCTGGTCTTTTCTCTCTAGAGACATAAACTAGACGGGGGAGCTCGTTTCCATCCGTATCTCGTGCTCCAGTGTTTCCGAGGAAGACCTGATTGAAGAAAGAGGGCCTTAAGAAACTGAAAGTTCTCAACTTTCATAGCTTATGACTCTTAAGAATTGCAAATAGTTTGATTTTCTACCTGAATCATTCCAGGGTGGTCTCTGGTGTTATTACCGGGCCAGGGCGTTCCATCTTGCATAGTCCAACCTTCTTCAGGTGTTTTCTGAGCCCTGGCTACCATTGCATTCACTCTAATTTTGTACTCTTCATAGTCCCTCTGCAAAAAGACCAACTTTCAACAATCGAATGATCAACAAGTACATGAGTTAAATGCGTTGGAGAAATTTCTAGGTTACTTACCTTCATAGCTCTACGTTCTTTCACAAAAGAAGGCTGAACCTTGTCTTTCAAGTAATCAATCTTCTGGGAGAAGTAAAACTCAGGCGCCCTTGGTTCAATCGAATATTTTTTGCAGAACGGAACCCACTTCCTTGCAAACTCAGCTGTTTCAGCCAGAGATTCAAATGAGAGCATGGCAGCACCATCATCAGATACATAGCAGGAGACCTTCTCCACGGGGTAGTCCAAAGCCAGGATGGAAAGCACCGTGTTGGCAGTAATCAATGGCGGTTCTTTCAATGGATCGACTGTGCTCACAAAGAAGTCCACAGGAGCAAGCTCACATGGTTCACCGGGCCTTTCAAACCTGGGATTGAATAATGGAGTTGAGAAGATAAAATCCGGACTACATACTTAAGCTTGGAAGGGATCACTAATTTTAGTACCTTGCAGATAAGGTGTCCAGATATGTGACTCTGTTGATGGGAGACCACTTAGGGAACTGATCTAATACCCAAGAAAAGGCAAACCAGATCTCACAAATGACAGAAGTGAGCCAGAGACCGAAAGCACTGTCGACAGGATTCGTTATTCTGTAGTGGAAGAACAGACCAAGAATGACCAATCGCATTATGATCACAGCCCTATATGGTGTAAGCTTGTTTCGAGACATTGGAACGATTTCTGAAAGTGGCTGCTGCATTAAAGCTTCTCCAGGCCTGCACAATGGAGAGATCATTTCTCTAATAATGTCACTTGAAATGTTGTATAACTTTGAAGTGTTCTAGTCCTATATCTTTACTAATGCTACTTACTGCTTGTCTTCCATCTGCTGCTCAGGTGGAATCTCAGCTGGTGCTTGCTCAGTCTTGTTATTTTTAGCACCCTTTTTCTTCTTGTTATTCTTCTTATCCTTCCAACTCTCAACCCGGTTCTTCCAAATCGGGTTCCCGGATTCGTCGTTCATTTCACTGTCGATTGTAGACACAGTGCTGACGTGCCTAGCATGAATCCCAACATCCTGTATATAAAGAAAAAGCATCAGAAATTCAGAACACAACATTGTTTTGTTCATTCCCAAATGCTCACAATGGCTAATACCTGAGGCTGTGGATCACTGAGATGAGCAGCCATGGTGGATCGACTACCACCAGGTGGATTTTGGTCAGCATCATCATCAAGTAAATGCTCTGATCAAGACCAACAAAAATTAGCAGGAAATTAGCTCAGAAGTGTAAAGCTTTGAACTTCGATAACCATTTTGAAAAAAAAATAGAATGTAGGAAGGTTACCATCATAAGGGGAGCTACATCTCAAGCATGCTTTCCGGCCTTCCTTCGCCTCATACTCGACACAAGATCTGCACATTGGGAAGTTACACTCATGACAAGCCACAAACAACTCCCCATTTGGCTTCAACCCAACGGCCTCGCCACAGGTGTCGCACACAGGAGCCCCGGGTTCCATCATCTTGCTTTTGCCCCTATTTCTTGCTAAAGAGAACCCCAGGTCAGCAATTACTCAGTTTGTGTTGCCATGATCCAGTTTTTATATTTAATAATCAAAATGCAATAGCAATGTGATTGCATTGCTCTAATGGTGAAGCCTTTCATGGGAAGGTGAAATGGTTGGGTGGAGGTTGCAGTGTTGGTGTCATGGGTTGTGCAGAGAGAAAGGTGATGAGAGATTGAGACGAAGCAACGTCTATTTTTCCCACCCTCAAGAAAGGCAGAGATTGGGTTTCAAATTTTTATGCGGGAAGTTGAAGGAAAGTTAAATTTAGTTGAGGAGCCCCCATCCTTAGCTAACTCAACAGAAGAGGCTTTGTTCTCAAGTCCCCTGTGCCTGTAAAGAAACAGTACCCTTACGCTAACTACTTCACTGTTCATGTGTCTATATAATAAAACGGGCTGAAACTGGATTACAGAAGCCTGGGCACGTTAATATCCAAGTCAGGGTCTGGAGAAAGTCCACAGCTTGCCTGGTGGGGAGAAAATGGCAGTGCAATTGCAACAACGCCGACCACCGAGATCAAGATCCATGTTCAGACGAGATTATGGCGGAACAAGCATCTATCAGCATGAATGAGTGACTAAAGGCTCTTTCTTTCCTCTTTTCAATCTACAGTACACTTAAATTCAGCTCAAATTACAGTGTCCTATGCAGCTGTGACCGAGTCCTAAGCTTTGTCAGGATCGAGAAAGGGGCAAGATGAAGGTTAGTACTGGTGCTATTCTGCAACTAATACTGTTCATCTGCAAAATTGAGCATTCCAGGAGGAATATCAAGTAGATCCATCCTGCTTCAATCACTGAACTTTCATGGTACACAAAAATGGACACTTCTGACCCTGATCTTGAATGGGTTAAAGCTGTTTTCTCGCTGAGTACAGGACTTCATCCATATCTTGCCATACTCCAAAATGCCGATTCAGACTCCAAAATGCTGATCATGTAACAGAATAGACCTTCACTACTTTAGTTGTGTCGCATATGACAAGGTTCTCTGACTCAGTAGGAGTTGTACATAGCCAATTCACCTGTCAGATAACCAACAGCTCAGGTAAGGAATAGCCGAAGACAAATCACAAAGGGAAAGATGGCTAGTGATTTGGAAAACCCTCACCTTTTTGCTCAAACTGATGCTTAGATGTAGCAGCCCATTATTGCTGCCACCATCCTGCTGGATTGTCTCGCGTCGGGAACAATCCCACAGCTTTACTGACTTATCATTCCCTCCAGAAACTATGAACTTCCCCTTATCCCCAAACAACGAAAACCCGACACACGATACTGCAGCAGTATGGCCCCCCAACTCGTAATCCAAATGCAACCTGCTGCTTTGATTCGTGTTGGCTGTTGTTTCGCCGCTTGTGCTTGATTCGGCTTCGTTATTGGATTTTATTTGAGACCCTTTCTTAGCTTTTGCCATACTTTTCGACCTAATAGCAGCAGCAAGTTCTACTTCAATGTCTATCACATCGACAACACCGTCACCCCTAGCTACTGCACATATCTTGCCTGCATTGTCGACCATATCAACATCTGGAACCGCTATTGCATGAACGAAAGCAGGATTGAGACATTGTGTCGTATTATTACTACTGTTAGAGCCTGCAGTCAGGGAAAGATTATAATAAGAGATTTTTTTTTTGGATGAAGGATTATAATAAGACATTAATTAAGTCAAGACTCAAGAGTATCATTAAAGGAGAGGAAACATAAAGTGGGTTTACATACCAAAATCAACAATTTTGACTGGGCGCCCTTTTGAGAAGTCCCACATAATGAGCTTTGAGTCAAGACCTCCAGTAATGACTGCCACATAACTTATGTTCATTATCAAAATAGCTAGGTTGCAGTTTTCCCACTTTTCAGAGAAGTGGAGGGAAACATGATTACACACAATTCTAATATTATAAAATCTCAGTTAAAATACCTCCCCATGGTCTCCAAGGGATAAACTGCACACTGCTACAGATCTAAGATACAGTTAAGTTTGAAGGAGGAGAAGAACCTCGAAATCAACAGTAGTTAATCTAACATCTTAAAGGCAAAGAATTGGTGAAGGATACACTTGAATGGCCAGCCCGCAATGTTTTATACAGGCAATGCTGGTGAATGTCAATAATCTGTCATAGTTATAGCACTTAGTTATGAGTACTACAAACAAACCCAAGACTTAATACACTACACTGTAATTAGGGTGCTCGAATAAAGAACCTTTACACCTGATAATAACATAAAAAGATAATCTGCTGAGAGTACAAACAAACTTAAGCTACTTTGAAACAACTTGACAATCAGAATGCCTTTTCTTAACAAAAGCTTGTCTCCTCTCCTTGCATCAAGAAGTTTACCTGATTGATCTCATCCTTGTTGTAGTTGTAAGTCCTCAATGGCTTCCAGTCATTGGCCTTCAGAGTACCAAACAGACAATTTCAGAAAGTTAGTGAGGATGTACGACGATAAAGGCTAAACACCAAATCAATCTGATGATGTAAACGAAAACGTTGCCAGCAGACATTGAATTTCACCAACACTGATCCTCTCGCTTGCATAAAGAAAAAAACAAAATGCAGGTCATCTTTGTAATGCTTACCATGAGCACATCCAAACACTTAACTTCACTCCCGGAGGAAACATAGAGGATATCTTCATTTCCTGTCGCCATCATCCAAACAAATAAGCACATGATCCCCTCAAAGATTGAAACTTTGTAAAGCAACTAGCTCACATCACATCATAACCTTAATACCTACTTATGTTGTAAGAATTCTAAAGCCTCTATACAGAGTTCTAACGAGAAACCCTTCTGGGTCATTCATTCACCTGGCTTGAAGCACAAGGACGAAATTGGTTGCTCCGCAACCACCATAACGAACTGTACCTCTTTGCATCGCATATCGAACCAGCACACACGACCATCCTAAACCCAATAGACATAATAATAAAACAATGAGAAGTTTGCACTGAAAATTGCTCAATGTTTGGGAATAGTGGTTTGAGCTCAACTGTTACAGCTGAGACAGGGAAGGATTGTACCTCGCCGGATGTTACTACGATGTCAGGACGGTCGCGTGAGGCTATGCAACACGTGGCGGTGGCTTTGTGCCCTCTCAATCGCCTTGGCTCCGTCATCTCTGGTTGGTGATCGGCTTACTACTCCGTGGACCGTTTCTCCGACCTAGGAGAATTGCTTTGCTCCGTTATTTCCTTCTCCCGCCGGCGCTGGATTATGTTGGGCCTGACTAATTTTGCTTTTGATCATGGCCCATTTCTGACGTCTAGTGGACCGGGCTTGTCCTAGAAGCCCAGCGCGTTGTACACAGCTTGCTTGTCATTCTATTGGGGTCAACATTTTCTTTTATCCTCTGGCCGGCCGTTAGATGTATTTGGACAAGATCGACACTACGTTGCCACTAGAAAAAGTGTGGCATCGATGTTGCAACTTGTGACATGGCAATGGTTAAATGTATTAAACCTCGCGTCAGGCTCGGTAACCATAAATAAGTCGAGATTGCTATTGGCCAAGGAAATGGAGAATTATCTCTTTCCTTTCACCACTATGGATCTTCATCTTCCTTGTTGATGTGACTTGAATCGGACTATCAGCCGCTACGACTAGTAATCGGGAGCCCACGGTGTATGGGCTCAATGTTATTTGGGTTCGGGTTCTGGGCCTGGTCTGTAACTATTTCCTTTGCCAAATTGGATTAGGTTTAGACCCACATGGAGAAGTACTATAAATACTTCTCATACTCCTCTGTAATCTGTAATCTCCTCGATATAGTGAAATTGGCTCTCTCTCGCCCGTGGACGTAGCTAACACACATCGTGTTAGTGAACCACGTAAATCGTGTGTCTTGTTTTCGATTCTCGCTTTCGTATTCTTGCTTTGTCGATTCCAGCGATTTCCCGATCCGTAGCAGCGCGTTTTTTTATAAAAAGTGGTATCAGAGCCGCGGTTGGAAATCAGGCTAGGGTTTTCGATTCAGAAGAATGACGTCGGTGAACATGAAGATCGAAAAGTTCACGGGGAAGAACAGCTTCGCTATATGGCAGATCAAGATGCAGATTAAAACAGCAAGTGTTGTGGGGGCCGCTGTCTGCGAAATAGAAGAAGGCAGCGATCGATGACGATGAGTGGAATACCCTGGAGGAGAAGGCACACTCGACCATCATGCTATCGTTGTCTGATGATGTCATCATTGAAGTCGCTGCTGAGAAGACTGTCGCGGGCTTGTGGTTAAAGTTGGAGAGTCTGTATATGACGAAGTCCTTAACCAACAAGTTGCATCTCAAGCAACGGTTGTTCAGCTTGAGGATGCAAGAAGGTACGCCTTTGAGGGAACATCTCGAACAGCTTAACTCTATTTTGCTGGATCTGCGTAACATAGATGTTCAAGTTGATGATGAGGATGCTGCCCTAATCCTACTGGTTTCTTTGCCGAGTTCGTATGAGAATTTCGTTGATTCTTTTATTTCTGGTAAAGGAAGTGTGTCGTTGGAGGATGTCAGGTATGCTCTTCATACGAGAGAGATCAGACATAAGGCGTCCGGATCTGGTACTGGTGGTGAGGCAACGGGTTTGGCTGTTACAGGTGGAAAGGGAAAGAAGAAATCTGGTAAAGGGAATTCGAGCAAGAATTCCAAGGGTCTCGGTCCACAGCCAGGTGATGCTTGTCACAACTGTAAGGAAGTGGGGCATTGGAAGTACAACTGTCCCAAGAGAAGAGGGAAACAGAAGAAACAAGGTTCAGTTGTCGTGGCAGAAGTGGACAACAGTTCTGAAGACGATCTCGCCTTGGCTGTAGATGAGAAGGCACATCGTGGTGATGTGTGGTTTCTGGATACTGCAGCCTCATACCATATGTCTCCGAACAGGGATTGCTTCACAACCTACGAGCAGATATATGGTGGTAACGTGGTCATGGCTAATGGAGTTTTCTGCAAGGTTGTTGGAATCGGGTCCATAAAGGTTCGGACACATGATGGTTCGTTCTGTACTGTGAATGATGTCAGGCATGTTCCACGAATGACAAAGAACCTGATCTCCTTGAGTCTACTAGACAGCAAGGGCTTCAGCGTCAAAGGAAAAGGTGAAGTTGTGTATGTCTGCAAAGGTTCAAGGAAGGTGCTGAAGGGCGTGAAGCGTGGGACCTTGTATGCATTACAAGGATCTGTGTTGTCTGGTTCTGCTGCAGTTGCATCGTCTCAGGTTCATCAGAAAGATATGATCACTCTCTCGCAAATGAGACTGGGGCATATGAGCGAACGAGGGATGCAAGTTCTGTCGAATAGGGATCTTCTTTGCGGGCATAAGGTGCAGAATTTGGAATTCTGCGAGCATTGTGTGTTTGGGAAGCTACATCGCAGCAAGTTTCCCAAGAAGGGTATCCACCGGACGAAGGGGATACTAGATTACCTCCACTCCGACTGTTGGGGTCCTTCACGAGTTGAATCCATTGGAGGAGCAGGTATTTTCTGTCTATTATTGATGATTATTCGAGATTTACTTGGATTTTCATGATGAAGCAGAAAAGTGAGACTTTCACGAAGTTCAAGCAGTAGAAGACATTGGTGGAGAATCAGACCGGGAAGAAGATCAAGAAGCTGCGAACGGACAATGGTCTGGAGTTCTGTAATTCTAAGTTCAACGAATTCTGCAAGGATGAAGGGATTGCCCGTCATCGGACTGTTAGAGATACACCCCAGCAGAATGGCGTTGCAGAAAGGATGAACCAGACATTGTTGGAGAGAGCACGATGCATGCTCTCTAATGCTGGACTAGAGAGAAGATTCTGGGCAGAAGCAGTAAACATAGTGACACGATAAAACACAACACCAAACAATGGCCAAGTGTAACCAATGAAAGGGACTGCAGTATAGGCAAGTTTAATTATCAACCCGGGGTCTAGATCTACTGCTTACTCCGTGATTCTCTATTATCTAGCAAACTAAGTCGAGTGATTGTTGTGAAAAGTAAAAGCAACAAGAAAGCAGTAATTTGTTCGGGTTTCTAAAGCAGGCAAGAGTCACTCGGGATTGAGTCCCCCTAGCCCCTTAGTTAGGTTCAATTGCAATTCCCTGGGTTGATTTACTGTTGATTAGACTGCGGAAGATCCGACAGTAGCTTGGAATCTCTTAAGCTGACCAAGCCCTCTCAGTCTAACTACCCGGCAGACGACTAGTCTTCACCGGGATAGAAAGCTGAGGCTATGAACACAGAACTCCACTACTGGCGCCAAGAACACCAGTACAAAGCAGTCAACTGGCTAACTCTCGTATAGCCAATCTCCTACTATCGAATGAAGAGACTCTAACAACCTAATCAGATTCTATCTATCTCAGGTTGCAGCAGAAATTGAGAAAAGCTGATCAGACTCAAATCAATTCATTAAACATGCGTCATTCGATTAAAATCAAACAATAATATCATCCCAAGTCATTACAATCAAATCCTTAACACAAGGAACTAGGGTTCTTCATACCCAAGTGAGAGAAGGGTTCTACTCCATAGAGAGAGAAGAGAAAACAAGAATCGGATTAGTCATACTCATAACGATGAGGATAATCTGCTCCGGGACGATGATTTTCACTCCTATGACGATCTCCAGGCTCGATTCGATGAAATCCAGCTCTAAGACAGCTTCTAGGATGTGTTCTTCGCACTTTCTCTCTCTAGGGCTCTGTTTTTGCTTTGAAAACGCGATCCTCTCACTTTTGGCTCGAATTAGGCTTTAAAACCGACTTTCCCGAGTTGCACGGCCAGGTGCACGGCCGTGCACAACACCATTCTGGCCGTGCACCCTCAAAACGCACCGTATCAATTATTCGGCCTTCATCCACCTTGCACGGCCAGGTGCACGGCCGTGCGATCTTCAGGGTCTGGCCGTGCATGGCCTCGACATGAGGTGCACGGCCAAATGGCTCAAGTGCACGGCCGTGCAGCCTCCTGGTCTGCCCGTGCACTCCCCAAAAAGCTCGCCCTTCGTCCGTTCTGCGTCCAATCGACCCCAGACTCGCTCCTAAGCCTTCACTCACGTACTAGGTCCTGAAATAACACAAACAAGCACAACCTAGCGTGAAATCGGCCTAAAACACGAGAATCAACACCTCAAACGGTGTAAGTATGAGGGTAAAAACATGTGTAAATGACGGTCTATCAAACTCCCCCACACTTAACCGTTTGCTTGTCCCCAAGCAAACCAAGTCAGACACTAGGTAAGCTTACATATTTCAATCAACCAACATTGGGGACAAGTCATAAAGGCACAAAACACGTGAATCGCACTGGTTTTCAAACATCAATACATGCGCAACCTCAATAACAACCTGGACAACCACCACAAAGGACATTCGAGTGCAGCAAATCGAGTAAAGGAAGAGTCTCCCTTCTGTTCACTGGCCAACCTAGACTTGATTCAACCACTTACTCAAAACAGTCAACTCATGCATCTAACTCAAGACATCAGAATAGAGACCGAGCAATCTAGGTCCTCACCGGGGTACAAGAGCATATAGAAAATGAAAATGAATCACTCACTCTCGACCAGTGGGGTCAGGACAATTTGATGCGAAAGATGCGCATGATATTCCTCTCAATACCTATCATCTCTTCACCATGATGGCAGCCTCTAAATGCTAGAGTTCACATATGGGGTGTCACCACTAACTAATCAGGAGGCCTTAGACACAGGTTCAAATGACTGGCTAGGGTCTTGGACATGGGGAAAATGCCTTTTAGGTGGTGGAAGTATTCATAGCAAAAGGTTCCACATTTCCCAAACACACAAACACAGTCAATAACCCGGTATTTTCTTTCTGCTATCCTGCATTACTCAATATCTTAAGAGCACAAGAGCGAAGGAGGCATAAACATCAGCATTTCCAAGCCAGACTGCTAAGAAACACTACTTACTAGGCATTATTCAGATTTTTGGTAGTGGCTCTCTTTTGCTTTCAATTTTTTTCTTTGTTTTTCTTTTATTTTTCTTTTCATTTCTTAAGAGAGCCACCACTTCTGCATAAATTTCAAACACCTGCCCAACTTTTAAGCACTACCTCCAACACTCACATAGACTTAAGCAGAAACAGCAGAGAATATGTAAAAACCACTCTGTGGAACCTTCTAAAAGATGCAACAAGGGTGATTTTTTCATTATAGACCAAAAGAAAGGATAACACACGGCTCAAAGGGGCTGACTAGGGGATATGACACATCAGGA